ACACAGACAGTTGCCCAAGGGTGGAGTCAAACCCGGGTTCCTGGCACTGTGAGGTAGCAGTGCTAACTACTAAGCCACCGTGCCGTGAATCAAATTGGCTGAAGACTAGTATCTGTATTGCTGGGGATCACTGGAAGAGGCCGAGATAGATCATTCACCCAGCTCTTCTGGCTGAAAATTGCGGTGGAAGCTTCAATTTGATTTGATTTGATTTGATTTATTGTAGTCATATGTACCTAAGTACAAGCTTTGTTTTGCGAGCAATTCGGGCAGATCATAGCAAACAAGAACATACAGGTCATAGGGTGTTTAGACAGACTGAGGCATACAAGGTTACAGCTGCACAGGAGGTGCACAAAGCAAGATCAACATTATTTAAGTTCGAGAGTCCATTCAGCAGTCTAATAATGGCGGGGAAGAAGCTGTTCTTGAATCTGTTGGTGCATGTGTTCAAGCTTTGGTATCTTCGGTATCTTCTGCCTGACGGAAGCGAGCATTACCAGGGTGGGAGGGGTCTTTGATGATGTTGGCGGCCTTTATCTTTTGTACTGTCAACCTGATCTTTTGCACTGATATGCTAGGCTCTTCCATCATTGAGGCTGGGGATATTTTTAAACAACTCACTGGAGGAGGAGTCTTCAATCGACCACCTCTCACGAGTGGATGTGGCAGGACTGCAGAGCTTAGATCTGATCCGTTTGCTGTGGGATCACTTAGCTCTGTCCGTCACTTGCTGCTTATGCTGTTTGACATGCAAGTAGCCCTGTTTGGTGGCTTCACCAGGTTGACACCTCATCTTCAGGTATGCCTGGTGCTGCTCCTGGCATGCTCTCCTGCACTCTCCATTGAACTGGGTTTGATCCCCTGGCTTGATGGTAATGGTTGAGTGGGGGATATGCCGGGCCATGAGGTTGCAGATTGTGATGGAGTACAATTCTGCTGCTGACGATGGCCCACAGCGCCTCATGGATGCCAAGTCTTGAGTTATTAGGTCTATTCGAAGTCTGTCCCATTTAGTATTGTTACTGTGCCACACAACACGATGGAGGTTGTTCTCATTGGGAGGGCGGGACTTTTTCTCTGCATCAATTGTGTGATGGACATCTCTTACCGATACTGTTATGGACAGCAGCTGGAAGATTGATAAGGATGAGGTCAAGTATATTTTTCCCTCTTGTTCATTCTCTCATCACCTGCTGCAGACCCAGTCTAGCAGTTATGTCTTTTAGGACCTGACCAGCAAAAAAAATCTGATTATCCACATTCACCACATACAATCAAGGGGATGACTGTTCTATGTCACAAGTTTTGATGTGGCTTAGTTGTATTGAGAGTATTCAATTCTTGCTGTCTCGGTGGGAGGTGGTGGGGTAGAGTTTGCATCGGTCTCTTACATCCATTTCAAGTTGTTATTCACCAGGAAGTCATCGAAGACCTGAAAATAACCCAGTAGACTGCGAAATGCTGCAAATCTCTCCTGGCATGTTTAGGATTACTTGTTCAAGCTTAGGCTTGCTTCAGCTCTTTGTTTAACATCTGCTATCTGGAACTCCAGATGTTCATTCATCCTCTTGTATTAGGCTCTCAGTCTAATTTGTCCTCTTGGCTTACATACCATTACATTATATAACCTCAATCCTTATGTTTGAGAATTTCATTTTTTGATCACCATCTTGTGCTAATTCACACAGGTTTGTAAAACTTGTGATATTGTACAAAATACTGATGTTGATCTGACACTTCATGTTCACTTAATGCTCTCCTTCTGCAGTCACCATTCTAACAGCCATAAACAATTTATCACTTTTAGACCTGACTACACCAATCTGTTGCAAGGTGTACGGTGATTCATCAACTGACATTTCTCCAACAACTAACCTTATCAGTTTGATATCTCAGACTCATATACATGAAGAGATTTAGCTTCTTACAGGTGCTTCCAGCAGACTGGACATGCTTCCTGTTTGTATGTGATGTCCTCATAATATTTCCAACTTGCTCCCTGGTTTTGATTATTTCTGTAAATGTTTCTTTCTTTTTCTTTTTTGTTCCTTTTTCTCATTCAGTCTGGAATGTCTCTCGGTATAATGCAGACTCTCATCCATTTTCTCATTAATACGCTTCAGTTGAATATTGACAATCTCAGACTTCTGCTTTTGATACAGAGATAGTAGGAACTGCTGTTGCTGGAGAATCTGAGATAACAAGGCGTAGAGCTTGATGAACACAGCAGGCCAAGCAGCATCAGAGGAGCAGGAAAGCTGACGTTTCGGGTCTGGACCCTTCTTCAGAAATGCTTTTGATAGCTTTCTTGAAAGTAGGTTTCTTCTTACTCAGCAGACATGCTGTCATGGCAACATGCCTAAGAGAACTCTATCTCAGATAAGAACATCTTCATGTCGTCCAGAGTCTTGGGTTTCAATTAAATGTAGCAGTGCAGTTATATACTGATCAATAATCTGAATTTCACCTGAGTTTTGATATTGATGACATACCCTTCATTTGCAACATTAATACGGGGTTCAAAGTGTTCTCCTCCTGAATGCAGTCTAGGATGGATTACAGCTTGTAGCACTCATTCCTCAGCACTGATAAAAGGGTTGCTACTCTTATTTGCTCAGGGGTTTAAAATTAATTCTGCAGTTATTTCATAGATTTTCCATTGAGGATGGGAAATAAGTCCAGTTTTACCTCATTGCTCCTTTCAGTTGAACAACAGCAGAGTGAAAAATGCACAGCTATCTTGACTAACCGGCAATCTCAACTTGCAGACCGTTATCTTTTTGCTATTTTGTTGATGTTTCTTTCCACAGCTAGATTTCTTTCAGCTTTGAAAATCCACACCTTTTCAGATATACCACTCCAACCCTATGTTACAAATGATGTGTGTTTAATTGTGATCACTGACCGCACACAAAGGCACTCAAAGCAGAGATAGAGTTCACACTGACTACAGGACACAAGCCCAGTGTACTGCCCAGACAGTTATATTTCTCCCAACAACCGTAATGGTTTGAAATGCCCAATATTGTCTGATCTAAGAAGATGGCAGACCAAGACCTCGTTAGTACTTGGATGGAAGATCACCTAAGAATTCCTGGTGTAGTGGTAGTGTCCCTAACTGTGGGCCAGGAGGCTTGGGTTCAAGTTCCACCTGCTCCAGAGGTGTGTCATGACATGTCTGAAAATGTTGATTAAAATATCTACAATTATATTTCTCTGGACAAGTTGTATCTACGATTGAACACTGAGAAGCTACTCACCAGAAGAATATCTCTTGCTTAAAGCATTTTGTGCTGATTTATATTTTTGCTATATTATGTAACTAAAAAGTTCATTCTACAGAGATGACTTACAGAGAGAACGTAAGATAAGTTGCATTAAAAAAATACACCATTCTACCTTTTACATGAAACATGGTGGTCCAAATGATCTATGGTTTTTCTTGTGTTTAATTAACGTAAAAAATATCAATTGCCATGTGTAAAGTAAATCTATCTTATGCAGTGCTCCACTCAGCCTCCTAACCTTCATCTCAGAATTTGAATTTTCAATCTTCCACGTCAGCTTTCTTTGCTGCCTAGCTGACTGAAGTTTTGTATCAACTTGTAAGAACTGAGAAAAAAAATCTTGTGTTGTGACCCTCTGCACACCAAAAACTGGCCTAAAGTCATATCATACAGCACCCTTCTGGCCTGGAAAGGCACTGTTCCCATATGTCTGAAGCAGGAAAGGGGGGATTAAAATCCAGGTTCAAGAGGTGAAAGGGCAATGCTCTAACTTTAGCAAAAAAAGGCAATGGACATATGGAACAAGTTACCAGTGCAGGTGGTCAGAAAGGAAATTTAAGACTTTCAAAAAGGAAACAGAAATGTTCCTGCCTTCTGAACAGATTTGTGCTCATTAAATGGAAACAATTGAATCTGACAGCAAATTAGACAAATAACCTATCTATTTGAAGTACTGTAATAACATAATGTAACTTGCCATGCTACTAAATCACTTGCTGAATAGTACGAGTGCAGTGCCCTTTCTAAAGTTAGGGCTAACCCTATGGCATTGTATTACTTTACCAATAATAGCAATTCTCCAACAGACCTCACCGAGAGATCCAGATAGCTTAATGAGTAAATAGATCATCGAGAGTGAAACATGCCAGGTAGGGTCTGTGTTTGATCTAAGGTCAGCTGTATTGATGTGTTTTTACATCTCGTCTGAGAACCCTGGGCTAGAATCCGAGAATGTGAGCAGAGCAACCAGACCTTAATCACTATCAAGTGATCCCTGCTTGTTAATGCATATGTAGTCAAAATAGGGCTCAGGTGTGATTGTTCTCATATCTTGGTTGAAGCATTAAGAATGAGTACCTGATAAAGGTGTCTATGAGTGTGCTATCCGGAAGAAAGAAACAGGAGGCAAAAAGGAGAAATGACTATCTCTGAACAGTAACATTTGGAAAGCACCTTTCTGTATTCAACTATGAGTCTATCTAATTTTCTTTAAAGCAAATAAACAAGATGAACGATATGCTCAGTGACATTTATATTCAAAATAAAATGCTGGATGATGCCAAACCATCTACCAGAGATGTGATCAATGCCTGATGGCCCTTGGTGGCCTACTTTTTACACTAATTAAGTTTTTAATCTTTTCTGCCAAGGAGTTCATTGGCATAATTACTTTCTATTTGAATGATTAATCACACTCAATTACTACTTCATACATTCTATTCAGTGATATTTAAAGGCTAGGATTTCCCAATGGTTATTTCCTTCAGGTTCTATTTTAAGTGATTTTCTTTGCAGTGCTTCTCCTACTTATACATTTTGTAAAAAGAATTCAGAGTTCAGTGCATTTATAAACACCCAAAAAGCCAATTAAGTGAGTTTTTTTTTTAAAATCAGTAATTCTGAATGTTCAGTTAGCTACATTCCATCTATTGCTTTATAACTATCAGCAACCAGAGTTAAATAGATGCATTGCACAGACACTCTAGAACATCTGTTCAGACTTTATTAAACTGCCTGCCAGATAAGGTTCATTTGGAACATTCTATAAAATTCAACATTATTTTGTGTTTTTTTTTTACATAAAGAAGTAATTACATTTGTCACGATCTTTTAAGAGGCAGATGACACTAGATGTACATTTTCACTTCAGCTTCAGAGTTTTTTGAATAAAAATCTGCATTTTTCAAAGAGAATACAACAATTCTAAATATGCAAAATGCAAGAAATGGAAGAAAGTAATGAATATATATTCAGTTCAGTATTTACAGTTCAAGATACATGGTAGCCATTCAAAGCTTTTGTTTGGTTAAATGTGTCTTATATCTTCAAAAATCTCTAAGACAATAAACTGCACATTCTTGATTGTAATTCTAATCTAGTGCTGAGCAGGTGTGACTTGCGTGATGACTTACCACTTTTAATAATGTTCCTAATATTCTGCAGGAGGTTCTGCTTTAGGGTTTAAGTACAATTAAGTTTCCAGTTACAGAACATTTTTGCAACATCAGCAGAAAGTAACTGCACGCTTGAAAATGTACTTCCATTCTGTGATACTGTGGTGCTGAAACTCCTTTAAGTCATTACCATGGGTATTCAGTAATCTACCCTTCACTCACCATCTTGAAATGATCAGTTTAGGTTTTTAAAGGACCACTATTCATGGAGTTGAACTATCCAACCCTTCACCACCAAAAATGATCATGTTAATTATGCTAAACACATCATTACTGGAGAACTGACTTGTGATGAAATTGACATATTCTGACTCCTCACCTTCCACAAAACAAGATCTGATGCATTTCTTCATGAATCAAATGCTACAAAATTACTAATTATTTTACTTATTGCTTTGAATCTTGGGTGGTAAATGAAAATAACTCATTAAATGTGCAAATTTAAAATGAGTCAGTGTGTTAATACTTCAGTTATTGCTACTGGAGGCAGTGTCGTCTCTAAATATCAAAAGTCTGAAAGCCACCTTTAGACTTGTGCCACAATGATCTTAATCTGGGCATCAGTTAAAATCTCCAATGTCCTTTACATCAGTTTTGGTAAGCAGGTGTAGTGCAATATAGCATAATAATATCTCCTTTTAATTGGAGATACATATAACAGACATGACTAGTATACTCTTCACATAAGGGCTGTGCTTATATTATACTAATACCAGCGTCTATACTCCAAAGATTAATGTCAAGAGAAATCCATTCCAGATATATTATTGTTTTAGTGTAGGAGAGATATATACACATTTATAATTTAGTTGGTCAGTTGTCAGTTGTGTACAGGTAAAATAAACTACTTTCTTAAAAACCATCCCATGGAATAAAATAATTACCATGAATTTGCTTCATTGTGAAATTCACTGGTAAATTACTGGCTCAATTAGTACATCTTGAAAACTACTGCCTACTGATGTGTAAAGATATATAGTCCTATCTCTGATTTTAATATCACACATATAAATAGTACAATTTATTCTTATTTTGCCTTGGTCTATAACAACTGAGTTTAGTCATTCAAATTGTTAACTTGGTTAGTGATCATGTGAGCAATATTTGGACTTGGGGCTGGATTTTTGTGGAGTTGGAAGGTACATACATCTTTAAACATGATGGGTAGGGACCCAGATGCATAAGACACAGCCTATTTACAACAGATCCAATTTTTTCTGCAGTTTGCAGGGAGTTCTACCTCAAACAGGCAGGGCCATATAAACCTTATGCTGCATTCAAGCAATCCCAATTCTGGCAGTTACATGGGCCTAACCCACAGATTGGAGCCACAAATCGATAGAATAGGCATAAATGCTCTTGAAGGGCAGATAAGGAATGTTTCAGTGCCATGATCTCAACTTTTATTTAATTTCCCACTCTTTAAATGTGTGAAACAAACTAGGATCAAGGTATTGTGAAGGTAAAAACAAAAATGACCTCTGCTGATTGCCTTGTCAGGCCATCTGGTGTAGCTTAGAAAATGAATTCCAATAAACAGGTGACTTCCTAATCCCCAGTGTCTATTATGATATCATTATTAATGCTTGGCTGAGTTTCAGAAGTTACAATTATCTCAATTGGGGATCCTGAGTTCACTGTTTGATTGATAGATTAAGGAGTCTATTAAGCAATTAGAGGTTTTTGTTGTGAATAGAATTTTGTTTTTATAAGGGAGTAACCACTGGAAAGATTTAAAAGTTGAGTGAGTTCTTGTTAATGGGACTTTTTCATTACCATATCTATGAGCGCTAGATTAGATTTTTATCAGTTTAATTTTTCTCATCTACACGAGTCCTAAATTCCAGTCACAGTGGATTCTCGGTGAGTAACTATGGCGTGGCATATCAACAATGAGAAGCCATGGCGGGACACCATAATTCGAAAAGGTGTGGCATGAGCATGGGGTTGGTTGTGTGGATAGTGTGGAGCTTGAGTTGGCATGGAGATGGCCTGTGGAATATGATGTGGCATTGGGATAGTTGGGGAAGGGGGGAGGGAAAGAGTTGTGAATGAGTGGCAGCAGGACCAGCAGGAACCATGGGGTTTGGTTGAGGGGTGAGGTTGTATGAGGGCTAAATCACTTAACAACCTGTAAAACAACTGGGATAAAGACCAGGAAAACCACAATTCTAAACAGCCTGTCTAGACATTAGTCTACCTACAATTAGGTCTAACATGGCCCTTTATATTAAGACAGGTCAGCTGAGTAGGGAAATTTCACAACTCAAGTTACCTGATTTGGTAGTGAAAATCAGGCCCTGAATAAATGTTGATATTATGGATTTGTTGAACAAATGTGGTCTCACCCACTATTCAGTGATCCAGAGCTTGGGTGGGGAATGGTCATTTCCATGGGGGATGCCCAATAGAATTAAGTATCCTTCTGGCATTTAAAAGGCTTCCATTGGGCCTTCATTGTGATTGAAGATCCTGATGGTAGAAATCCCTTCTGCCGAGAGCTGGTGGCTAATCAATCAAAGACCAGCAGCAGGAGCAGTGACTATCTGCAGTACTGCACCCACCCGAGACCCAGCATCTTGAATGGACTCCAGGCCACAGCTAACTGAGACAAGATGCTGGTCATGGGAAGTGCTGTTTGGGAAAGGAGGAAGGGTAGTTGGAAGCAAGGGCAAGGAGCGACTTTCAGTGGCTACTCCTTGGCCTCATGGTGAGTTCTTCAATCTGGCACTATCTGAGGTTGGGGACTTCCCAACCTCGGGTGCCCACACACAAAACCCAACAGGATTTTTGCTGGCTGTTTGGACATGAGACCTTTAATCCCCAAAGCTCAGTTGCCATACATTTTGGTGGATTTAGGGATAGTGAGTATGAATGATCTCATTAATGAGCCTGATTGACATCCCACTGGCCAAGGCCAGGAATCCTGCGTCACTCTGTTCCATCATCCAATTTAATTGGGGAAGGTTTTCGACTACCAGGAGAATGGTTCCATGATTAAATGGCCCGGCTGACATGGATCCCACTGCGATGTGCACCATGAAATCCAGCCCCACATAATGCACATTTTGATGGGTAAGAACACAGGCACTATGAATATAACCAGGAATCCAAATACACATGTACAGATAGGTCATCGCAGGTAACCATTTTACATGATTCTAATAAAATTACTGAACAGGATCGAGCATTGAATTACATTACAATAATTACAGTTTAAGATAATTTGGAAGTTATCAATCTAATGTGGATATTGGCATAACTTATGAAATTTCTTAAGCAAATAGACATTTAGAATACCTGAGTTCTCACTGAGAGACATTTAATAATACTCTAGCATTAAAGGCAGCTAGGAGATGGGGTGAGAGCTCCTGAGTGAAGAGACCTGTTCTGCGCATGATCCACACTGAGTATTAAATATATTTGATGTAGTTCTCCCTAATATGGTAGAAATACTCAACCAAAGAAATACATTTTTTTTAGTTCATCCATTAGACCCTGCAGGTGTCCGTTAATTTTACCCAACTCCACTCTGTAACAACACAAATTTGCATTTATATAATGCCTTTAACATAGTAAAAACACCCCAGTGTATTTCTCTGTATTGTATCAGGCAAAATTTAACACATCACCACAAAGTTATACTGGCAAAACTGACCTATAGTTGGTCAAGGAAATAGGTTTCATGGAGCGTTTTACAAGAGGACAGAGAAGCAGAACGTCAGAAGTTTAGGAACAGAATTCTTCTTTGTAGCCTATGGCAATAAACATGTTTTTCTGGTCCCTTCATAATAAAGGATAAAATCGAGATATTACTTTAGTGCGACTACATTCAATTTTGGTTGTGTGATCTTCCTCTGCACTAGACCATGATTACATCCATTCTGTGACTCAAAAACTCTTGCATTAATGTAACAGTCATGTACAGGGGAAGTCAGGTGATAAAGATTAAATAAATTCCATGCTGTAGTAGTGCATGTCACTGGCACTTTAGAAAAACTTGTGGGACAAATCTTAACATTTCAAACAAATGAGAATAAATTGGACCACAGATTGTCATTAATAACAATTCAGCAAAGAAATTCAACTATTAATGGTTGGCTGTTTTAGTGGTTAACAAACTCAAGGGGCACATTACCACAAACAGCATTCAAGTTTCTGAAGTGAACTGGAAATTGGCTGAATCAGAGGAAATGAAGGAGAACTGTACATGGAGCTGCATCAGCAATATGATGTCTAACAGGATGCCTTTGGAGACCAGTGTTTGATCCACTATTATTTACAATACATATGAAAGTTATTTGGGAATTGAAACAGGAAAAAAATGTATACTGGGTACTATCAAACCTGGATAAATGGGTGAAGAAGAAAATAACTATAAATAATAGAACAAAGAGAGCTAAAATGAAGGGTGATTAGATTGGTAATTGACACCTGTTATTCACAAAAATATGAGACTGAATTGGCATTATTCTGCAAATTACAGAAGAGGGAGATGCATGAGTATCTGGGAAATATCTTGAAAATACAAGACAATGTATAATAATGATGAGTAAAAAGAAATAAACAACCTCTTAAGGTTTGCAGCCGGGTATAAAATACAGATCTCAAAAAGTGGCAATCAATTCAAAGCATCTGGAGTACCGTATTGTACAGTGGCCAGCAATGCTAGTAATGCTGTCCTATCCCCACTGGTGACATTACAGTGAACTAATTTAGGTATCTGTGCTTTGAGAAGATCATACATAAGAAATGTTTTTGACATGTTCAAGAATTTAAGGCATAAAGGTAAATTAAAACCAAGGACTACATTGGCTGTACATTGCTTTGAGACTCCTTGGAGTTATCAAAGATACTACATAAATGCAAATTATTTCTTCCTTTAATCTAGTACTATATTTAACATAAACATAAATAGTACAGTAAGGTTAGGGAACTAGGCCAAAACAGGACTAGGTTACAGGCACTTTTGATTTAGCAACCTTAACACAGAGGATGATGAATACAGGGGACAAATTACCCAGGGAATCAGTGGAGATGGATAGTGCTGCGAAATTCAATAGTGAATTGGATAGCTATATGTCACAGAAAGCAACTGACTATTATGAGAAGCTTGTAGGTCATGATATTTGCCTAGTTAACAATGAGCCAATTAGAGTACAATGGTCTCTCTTAGTCTGGAACATTCTAATTTTGCAGGTATGGTTCAAAATGTTGGGCTTAAACAGATCAAACAAGGCAATTTCAAGATATATGACTTTAAAAATGTATGTATACTAAATTCATGATGTGGAAGATCAAATTACAATTGAAAGCCAACTTTAGTGATGGTTAAGTAGGTCATAAATCATGCTCAACAATTTTAATAATGACAGGCAGTAGAATTAATAAAATAAAACAGAACCTGTACAGTGGGAGGCCACTGTGACCCTGGGAAATTAAGCATAAACTGACTAAGCAAGATAGTGTTTAACCTTCAAAACTGGACCTAAGATTAAAGAAAATCAGGTTATTGTAATTAATAACTTAAGAACTTCCGGAAAAAATATCAAAATCTGTCCTTGAAATAAGAAGACTGCAAGTTAGATATGGTCTTTTCTGATTTATAACTGCTTCAGCTAGCATGACGTAACTGATGATATAGTATTTCATATATCACAATCTTATCACTAAACTGAAAAGTGTAATAAATTTCATGAAACTTCAAGGTTCATAAGCATATCAGGGACTACAAGGCTTAGTAAAGAATTAACTGTTAGATTTCTCTATTTGTAACATTTAACCGAATATGACCAAGAGGTCAAGGTGGCCATATGTTGTTCTAGTTTGACTCAAAAGTGCTAATGTTGAATGACTTTCAGAAGTAAAATACGTTCTCTTCAGCCCCATCTTTTTGTCCATGTTTGCTTTCCTGTGGGACATATGAGCATTCTTGAACTAACAGCTGCATTTCATGCTGTGACTGTAAACCCCCCTGGTGCAGAGTGCTCGAAGCTGGTTTCTGAACAGACAAGGTTGTTTGTTTGGTATTCAGATCTGTGCAAAGTAAAAAACAGTTAATATATAACGGATTGTAATTTTAAGAATGGAGGGCTTTATTTTATCTCCCCCACCTGACACAAACGGGAAACAGTTAAAACACACCAGTGGACATACTCAGTTCTTTCTTACCCCAATCTGGCTGAGTGACGTTTTAAATTTCAGGTGGCAAGGTCACTACTCAAGGCAGTGATGTCTCTTTAAACATGCAGATCAAGGTCCGTTGTCATTACCAATTACCGCTCTGCTGTCGTCATTATTGCCCTGGGGTAGAACTTTTGTCTGTCACCACAAGGTGGGTTCAGAGGTCAGGAGGGAGATCCATTTAATTGTACAGGAGGGGGTGGAGTGTGGACCCTGCTACTTAAGGACCCCATTCCCACTAGTGTGGTATTCAGTCAGCACTGGTATTAAATGTACCACCATCCAGGAAAGCCAGCAGCTTACAGCAGGAACTCTCTGTTTCCAAATCAAGTGGCATGACATTTGGAAGAGCTCTCTGAAAGCCATCCCATGGCCTTACATTGAACTCCCTCTACAATTACCACTGACCCTCTCCTCACTTCCAGCTACCTTTGTCTGGGATCCATAACCAAACCCTCCTCTGGTCCTGAATGGCAGTGGCCACTTGTCCTGATGGTGCTGCAAGGGAGCCGGCAACTCTCAAGGTGCCATTTGACCCTTCTGGTAGCTTTATCAAATGGTAGGCCCAACCCTGTCTAGGTAAGTGCCTGGTTGCCTGATGATCACATTGGAACACCCAGAGGGAAGCTTCAAACAATTCCCACCAATCTGGGCAAGACATGACTGAACCCATTAAATTCTGGTTCTGTGCAGAGAAACATTGGGGGTCATCATAATATGGCAAAGGTGCTAGGAATGACAGCAACTTGGAGAAGAGGTTCAGCAAATTCATTGTTATGTTTTATTTCGGATTCATGGATCATGGAATCCCTACAGTGTGAAAACAGCCCTTCGGCCCAACAAGTCCACACCGACCCTCAGAGCATCCCACCCAGACCCAGCCCCCTCTAACCCACCTAATCTACACATCCCTGAACATTATGGGCAATTTAGCATGGCCAATCCACCTAGCCTGCACATCTTTGGAGTGTTGGAGGAAACTGGAGCACCCAGAGGAAACCAACGCAGACATGGGGAGAACGTGCAAACTCCATACAGACAGTCACCCGAGGGTGGAATCGAACCCGGGTCCCTGGTGCTGTGAGGCAGCAGTGCTAATCACTGGGCAACCGTGCCACCCCTTTATTTTATTTTGCTCCCCCTCCAACCTCTTCCTCCCCTCCCTCCTTAAATGGGGCAATTAGGGCCAAACAAACCCCACTCCCTCTCCATCATGAGTCAGGAGGAAAAATATGTTCCTCTGGGCCACACAAGAAAATCCAATTCTGGCCAAACAGGATTACTCTCCTGGTATGTTTATATTGTACAGGTGCCCGATTTTAAGCTGAACAGTTAATTCTCATCATTTTGTTGAAAAGTGCAAGGGAATGCCAATATGGCCCACCTGGTAATATTGGCCATGCCTGCCTGGTGCTATTCCCTAAACAGCAATATCGCTCACTAGGCCATGTTCCTGCCCAGAAGCCATAAACAAACTCCAAGTGTCTCCTTCTGATCTGCACTTCTTCGCTACACTATGCCAAACCCCCAGTTTGCTACAATCAGGAACATATCACTTAGAATTAAAACTACACCTACATCAAATAGTTTCTCCAATTTGTCACTTTTGGAAGCATTTGGAAGTCTCACAGCTGAATAACTCAAACCAATGATTCATCACTGGTAATAATTGGTCAATGGAAAGAAAATTAAAAAGTATATAGTTGACTTGTGTCTCTGTGTATACCTACTATTGTCAGATAATAGGGATGATAAATATCTTAGAGAAAGTTTCTTCCCACCTTCCTAACTATGCAATGTCAGAGAAATGATCTAATGCTAAAAAGTCATATTGAAAATAATGTTCAAAAACAGAAATGAAGTTTGCATCTTTAACCACAGTGGAAGAGATGGACTCCAATTAAATAGATCCAAGGTATCTGAATTACAAAGCAGGTCCACTGGTATTCCCAGTTCAGAGGAAGGGTCACCGGACCCGAAATATTAACTGTGATATTTTCTCCACTAGTATCCCCCATTCTTTCAAGTTGTTTTTGCCTACAGATATTAACCTGTCATTTTACTTATACTGGCAGACCAGCACAATGTGCTTCTAAGTTCATGTTTTATTTCCGATTTCCCTGGGTCACTGGCTTGTTACTATTTTTTCATAATGTCTCTTCCATTTTTCAAAGCGAGAATCAAGGATTTTAAAGTCACCATCAATCCTATTGTGCCAATGCAAGGTCACAAGGTTATTTGTGAATCAAAGTTATTTTTTCAATAGGTGCCCCACCCATAAAAAACACAATAAATCATTGTTTCATTAGTGCCAGTAACTCTCTGGTACGTTGCTTAAGAGGCTATTCTTTAGGCTATGAGTCAAGTTTGTGAGGGCCAGCAGACTGTTGAACTATGGGCGCAACCCAGCATAACAGGCTGAAACCCAAAGGGAACATTTCAAACAAGGTTCCACTGCATTGAAATCAGAAACAGGAATCCTGTTTGATTTCTCCCTGTTCTAGCCCAGGGAAACTGAAACCAGATATATCACCCAATTGGTGGAAAAGCTTTCTAAGATGACTTACTCACCTGAATTGAAAATAACACTTTGATGTTCTAGTAACACATGACTTGAAGAACTACTTGCTTTATCAAGATTATCTTTTGTGTAAATCATCTCTTTTATATAGTTAGCTTGGTCACAGGAAGCTGTAATCATTGGAAGAGAAAAAATGTAAAGTTATTTCAACATACGTGAAAGCAACATCATCTGCTATCTTGTGGCAACAAACAATATTTGTGAAATAATATAAAACAAAGGACTGCAGATGCTGGAGAGAAACAGGAATTCCTGGAGAAACTCAGCAGGTCTGGCAGTATCTGTGGACGAAAACAGAGTTAACATTTCCAATCTACTTCAGTTCTGAAGAAGGGTCACAGGACCTGAAAAGTTAACTCTGCTTTCTCTCCACAGATGCTGCCAAACCTGCTGAGTTTCTCCAGCAATTTCTGTTAATATCTGTCCAACAATTGTTACACATATGGCAGACAAATGAAAGATGATCTTAATATAACAGTGCACACATACTTCTGTGATACAGTCGTTATTTATTATAACAATTAGATCATATTTCCTGGAATAGGAAAGTCTCAGTTTAAAAATGGGAAAAACGTTAATAATTTAACTTGACATGAACATGGGAACAAAAGATAAGTATGGGTGAAGCAATCCTTCAACCAATTTAATCTAAACATTCCTGACTGCTAACATTCCCGACTGCTAACATTCCCAACTTCACTTTAAAATAATTTACCATTTCTTAAATGAATCTGGTGTGCTGGCCACCCACCCTTTGTAGTATTCCATTCCCAGGTATTCTTCACCTCATATAGAAAGTTATTCTTTCAAAGGTACATTGCAAAGTATAGATATTCAATCAATTGAAAGAGGACAATACTAATAGTTTATAAATTTATACTCATTGTTTCAGATAAATTAAGATATTAGAAACAAAATGAGGAAGTGTGACAATGAGAATGATAACAATAATGCAAACACGAACAGAGAAATTGGGAAAGCAAGAAGTTACACAGATTTACCTAAGAAATAGGTCACTCAGCCCAGTTGGCCTCTGCCTGCATTCACACTCTACATTAGCCAGCTCCCACTTGAATTACCTCATCCCACCAGCCCGAAAAGCCTTCTTCGTGCACGAATCAAACCTCCCCTTAAATAAATCAATGCAATTTACTTCAAGCATTCACTTCTTGAAGAAGAAATTCTCCATTCTGAACACTTTGTGTGAAAAAGTTCCTTAGTATTAAGTTCTTTATTTGACCTGTTAATGCCGATCTTAAACGTACAGCTTTGTTCTGTCCTTACCCACAACAGAGTACCATTTCTCCATTCAATCTCTGTAACTTTCCAGTATTCTATACACTCACATCAAATCACCTTTTAGTCTTCACATTACCAGAGAAAAGCACCACAAGCTGTTCAATCTTTCCAAGTAATTGCTTTTTTTTCAATTCAGGGAATGCCCTTAAAAGTCTTCTCTGCACATTCTCCAATGACTTAGCACTGTAGCATGGAGACCAGAACCACACATAATATTCCACATTCGTTCTAACAAAGGTTCTACATGAATTTATTTTTACCTCTCGGTTTTCAAAACTTTATTTGTCCAGAAATGAACTAAAATATTTTGTTTGTAATCCATCTGGCTTCTCTGGCCATCGTGTTGCTGATTTCAATGATTTGTGTGTGTCCATATTTAAAACAAGCACCAATTTAGTGCCGGAGAAGCATCTCATAATTTTTTAGAAGAGCAGATACTGCCGATGCTGGTTGTTGGAAACAAAAATAGAAAATGCTGGAGAAAGTCATATGACTCAAATAAGTCACATCGGATTCGAAATGTTAACTCTGTTCCTTTTATTACAAGTGGTGCCAGAACTGCTGAGTTTCTCCAGTATTTTCTGTTTGTATTTCACAGTTCCAAATCTCTATTTTCTATCCTGCGACCATCTTTCAATCACTCCCGGTACCTTCCCCTCCACACTCCCTGACATTTGTTTAAGTCTCTTATATGGCCCTTTATTGAAAGTTATTGGACGGTTCATGTATATTAAATTAATTAATTTACTACTTTAAGGAACTGTTTAAGGCTGAATGAGAGAGCTCTTTCTGGTAGAAACAAAGCCTATTAAATGACCAGGCTCTGCATCTTTTGGTGGGAAACAGTTTGAGCACTTTCCCTACAGTAGGCATTAAGCAAACTGTCTATACTTCCCTGGATTTGTTACAGTTCTTTATGGGAAGGAAAAGAACTGAATTTGCTGTCAAATTTGCTTGTTGTGTGAGTCATGACAGCATATCATTCCAACCAAAAGGACAGAACAAACAGCTGTACATTTAAGATAGGCATTAACAGGTTGGAGAAAAAGTCAACTGTCTGCAAGTGTACAATCACAAGATAAGAACACTTTTATAAAAAACAAAGAACTGCAGATGCTGGAAATCTGCAGATCATATATGCCATGTAATAAATTGGCAAAAATGAGATTAACTGGAATAGCAAACGGTTCCTAATGCATGAGGACTGTACATGTATATATTTTGTAACCTGGTAACTTAAAATGTATTTGTTAATGTACATCCTTTTTCGTATCAAAGGCAATCATGTATATGTCCGTCCAAATCCGTTGTATTCATGTGCTCTCTACCACGAGGCACACATTGTGGCAGACATCCTGAGCCTTGCTCTAACAAAGTCTGAATGTTAACACTCTGCTGTTTTGTACACTCATATCATTGTACTTATTGGTAAAAGTTTCACGTTTATTTCCTCCCTTGCCTACTTATTTTCAAATTGTTGATAGATCTGATATTCATTCTGCATATCTACTTATGCATCTCTTTCCCTACGTCCTTTCCACTATTTGGTTGTGAAGTCACAAAATGTGATTTCACTTTGTGATTTTCTTTTTGCTGACAATTATGCTTCATCTGCTGGCTCAGAACAGGACAAGCAATGTAGCACAGGTTTCTCCTCCAATGTATGTGATAACTTCAACCTTATAGTCAGCAAAACAGAAAACTGAAGCAATGTACCAGCCTGCTCCAGTATAGCCCTATCTCAAACCCAAATTTTCAACCACTGACCAGAACAAGTTCATTTTTCTCAGCAGCTCACATTTTTGAGCTATCTATATTGATGACAAGACACATGAAAGAATTCCCAAAGTAAATGTAGCCTTTGGCTGATTTTGAGCACCAGACTGGGACAGAAGAAGATTAAGCTTGTTTATTAAACTGAACGTCTAAAGGACAACAGTCCTGCCCACTCAGCTCTATGCATTCGAGAGCTGGTCTTAGTCGTGCAAGACTTAACGTATCAGAAGCTTGACCACTTTCATCAGGGCTGGCTTCAGAAGCTACTGAAGATCAGATGGCAGGGCAAATACCAGACACTGTGGTACTCACCTGAGCTGGAATGTTAAGCATCCAACTGAATTGGCCGGTTTTGAGGCCACTTTGTACGCCGTTTGCCGAATCTTCAATGGAGAGCTCACATGGCTGTTAAAGGAAGCCACAGGGGCATGCTAAAGGTTTCATTAGGAATTTTGATATGGACTTAGTGACCTGGGAGAGGTTCACCCAGCACAGTGAACAAGTAATGACAATTCTGAAGAAGTGTCACTGGACCCAAAATGTTGATGCTGCTGTCTCAGCACAAATGCTGCCGCTGTCTCAGCACAAATGCTGCCAGACCTGCTGAGACAATTTCGATTTTTGTTTCAGATTTCCTATATCTGCAGTTCTTTTTTTTTTGTTAATAACACAGTAGCACAGATATCAGCCCTCCTGAGGATCAGGTTGTATGGATTCTGCTGCAGAGCACTAAGATAGACACTGTGAAAGCAAAGAATAAAGTATGAGGCTAAAGGTTTGTTGAATGAAATGCTTGATGTATTGGCATACTGGTCAGAAAACCTATGTACAATTTCAAGGTGCTTCCAGAAGTCTCACACCAACTTTGCACAGAGCTTTGTGCACAGCTTGGGAACTGTTCAAGTTCAATTTTCTGTCATGGAAGCTCAGGCTACTGTGGTCACGGCAGAGAATTCTACAGGATTACCACTCTCTGGGCGAAGAGATTTCTTCTCCCAAGTCCTAAATGTCCTACTCCAAATCATTAAATTTTGACTCCTGATCTGGACTCCACCATAATTGGTATCATCCTTTCTTTATTTACCCTGTCAGTGTATTAGAATTTTATAGGTTTCTATGAGATTTCCCTACTCATTCTTCTAAAATTGAGTGAACATAGTCCTAACTGATACAGTCCCTCTTCATACTTCAGTCTATAGTCCAACAGGTTTATTTGAAAACACAAGCTTTCAGAGGGTAGCCCCTTCGTCAGGTGAAGTGAGAAAAAAGCGCACAGAACACAGAATTTATAAGTGAAAGACCAAACAAACCTAAGATGCTGTTAAATCTTTAATCAGTTAGAAGATTTTAATTGATTAATATGTATCTGTAAGTCCCCAAATTTCTTTCAAGTCACCGCTCTGAGAGAACTAATCATTTCATCAGTGTAAAGAAGAGGTGCCATTTTAGGTCAGACAATGCATGTTAGGTATGAGGCCTTGTTTAGAATCTGTTTGTGTTTTGGTTTGGAGTCAGACTGTTTGAATGCACACAAAGTATCAAAATAGTTCTTATCAAACTCACACGTCATATCTTTTATCATTGTGACAAAGGTAAACCATCCCTTTCCATTCATCTCAACCCATCTGCAATCTTTGGACAGAATTGGTGTGCCATCCTCCAATGCTCATGCACCATCATGAGTTTGGGTGGGCAGTGTTCATCTTATTCTAATTTAAACAGAACCTTTTTTTTTTGGTTTTCCCTTTCTGCTCCAGCACTATTACTTCTGGTATTCCCAAGGATCTATTCTTGACCCCTCCATTTCTCCCCTACAACTTGCCCTTGGTGACATCATCTGAAAACACAGCATTAATTTCCAGATATACATGGATGACACCCAAACCAACTTCATTGCCTCGTCTCTGCATATCTCCACGGTTTGTGAACTATTAGCCTGCCCAACGTGCAGCACTGGGTGCACATAAAGTTCACCCGACTAGATACCAGGAAGACCAAAGCCAGTAGTTTTGGTCTCTGCCACAAACTACGTTCC